GAGAGAGAGAGAGAGAGAGAGAGAGAGAGAGAGAGAGAGAGAGAGAGAGCAAAGCAGCTTAAATTTCAATACATATAATAAAGCTTTTAATCATTTAATGGATCATCACCAAATGGAATCAGTTCTTAACCTATTTCTGACTTATTCTGAAAATTTTGTCAAAATCAGTCAATAACTTTTTGAGTAAAGCTGTTACTGAAGTATGTAAGTCTGATTTTAGCTGCTGATCAAAGAAAGTATCATAGCAACAAAATATCATAGCAACAAAGTATCATAGCAACTAAGTGTTTCGCACAGCAGGCAAAAGTCTTTACTAGAGTTATTAATGACTTAATGAGAAGATGTTAATTTGTCTACCTTCTGGGCAGCCTACAGCATGCATGAAACAAGAAAACAAGTGGTCAAAAAATGTCTTTCTTTTCATCTTTTAGTTCTATTGATAGCCACTATGCTACCTTTTGCCCATTAAAATACAGGACCTAGATATAACTAGCAACAACCGCCACCATAATATTGTACAGAGTAACATTAAAATATTAATAATTATTTATAATAATAATGATGAGGATGATGATTATGATAACAACACTAAAAATAAGAATGACATTACTGTCAAAAACAATTATAATAGTATTAATATCAAAGCCAGCATTCCCCCCTCACTGTTTATCACCATACGTCTTATAATTCTTAATAAGTTAGACTGCTTAACTAGGATGGTCCATAGCATACATATAGTTGGCTTTGTTATGTTACTCTAAATGGGTGTTATGGATGATTGCCCAATATTAGATGTCTTTGACATACCTAAATGGGCTAGAATCATGAAAGCTAGCAACTTAACATCGTCAAAACAACCACTCTTTGCCTCAAAGGCAGATTCAAGATTGCAAAAGATAGGTTAAAGACCTATATCCTTTGTGAAACATTACTTTCTAGGTTAAATTCTTTAAGTCTTTGTAAACAACCAATTTTTGACAACAGTTCTTGTTTGACACTGGTCTTTAAACTCAGTTTTTAGTACAACATAAGAACCCTGCATCGTGCCAAAACTATCTACACATGCTGTAGCAATCACCTCCAATTAATTAAATTCATAAATTTCGATAGCAAGTATACTTACAATCTGAGTCATATCATCTTGCCTGACCAAAGCTCTGTTTCCTTCGTTGACGCCCTTTTTCATGACACTGACGTTAAGGTTGCTGATGATCTCTTTGGCTTCTCGTTTCTGTTCTGCTTGACGCTTGCACTCGTTCAGTTTATGGGTCAGATTCTCCAGCTCCGTCAGCGCCCTCTGCAGGGCCATTCTGTCCTTGTGGCCAGTAGGCGTGTGTTTTAGTAGGTCCTGGAAAGTTGGTGAAAAAAGTTTCATTTAATTTCACTGTTTTGTCTTACAGTTCTAAAATGTGCAGTTTTAATACCACTCTATATAGTACCAGAGCTGAAATCAAAAGGAAGTCATGGTCAACAACAAATTCTAAATAAATTATATAATCATATTTTGCAACTCTGAACAAAGATTTCTTAACTGCCATAATATTTGGAGTCAGGGAAGCATAAATATGTATACTATCACATTTGGTAGTTGAATACAAAAACTGGTTTAATCATATCACAAAATGTATCTTTATTCGGTGAAAAATTTAGATCATAAAATTCTGATACACCACATACGTACCTAGGCACACATGTAGACATAAACACACATGCATGCATACAAATGCACACAAAATTCTGTGCCCCCAGTTTGTATCTACCTGTAATAACATAATAAACTGTGGAAACCTCTGTACTGGCTTCACCATTAATCCAAACAAGGACAGGCGGTCAGGGGCTTTGTTGATCTTCTCCTGGAAGTAAACACAACACATTGTGACATCTAACTGGTATTAAGTTAAAAATGAAAACTTTTGTATATAAGTTTTTATAACCTTAACCGACTTCAACAACTACTATGTACCTTCAAGAAATCCCCAAATGAAGCCTTCTGTTTGGCGGCCATCTTTGCAGTGTCCATGGCTTTGGAGAAGTTGTTGACATAAGCACTGTATGCATCAAAGACGAGGTCCTTAGAAAACTGGAGAGTTAAAAGGACAATTATGTTAAAAAAAACCTGTAAAGTTTACTTAAAGAGTGTTCATTGAAGCCCCCACAATTAAACTACATTTACAATTTAATTTGATAGACATGCCCTATTTTACAAAAAAATTCATTTAAAATCATGACAGTTACCTTTAACTATTTCTATTCATAATGTGCGGTTACCATGGATTCCCAAACAATGTTAATTGCGGTTCCCAATATTGCTCTAAATATCAGAGATTCAAAAATGACAGCTTTGAAATCACTGCCTACAGGCTTTTGACCATGATTTTTGGGCAGCACTCACAGAAGCAGTGAAAACATTCCCAATGCTCTCCTCCTTGTCCCAGTCAGTGACGCAAGCCTCCAGCTCTATCTGGAACATCAGGTGACACTGGAGGATGTCTGACACACGGTGAAAGATCACGCGGACACGATCCATGCTCAATATGTTGGGGTCCAGCCTCAGGGGTTTCTCATAGTCCTGAAATATGAGAAACTAAAAGTGTAATAAAACTTTCAAAAAAAAAAAAAAAAAAAACGTGAGGTACCCATTGTGATAATCATGCAATGAGAGGTCTGAGATTTTAACCTGCAACTTGTATCCTTAATATCTTAAAGATGACAAAAAATATTTTACAAAATGAAGCAATTTTCTTAATATAAAATTTGAAAAAATAATTCAAAGTTTAAGGTAGTGTTGTTATGTACTTGGTGCATGTGTGGGATAGTGTGGTATTATAGTGATATAAGTAAAGGAGCAGACACTGGAATGTGTCCATTTTTCAATATTTCTATAAAAAATATCTAGCAACTTTCCAAGCCCCATCATCCATATTAAGGGTGGGGGAGAACAAAAATCCTTATTTACGAGTTATCTCTACATTCAACATTTTATTCAAATAAAAATACAAAAATGCTATCCTTATTTCAATCCAACAAAATCCCATACCTCCACCAGCCTCTTAAGAGACACCACGTAGGAATTCTCACTGTCAATGAGAGAAGCTAGAATGTGTCTCCTCTTCTTCTGCTCTGCTGTCAGATTATCTGGCTCTGGAGGCAGCTGAGGCGGGGGGTGCTTTTTGCTGCTCAGATACACGTCTATAATCTGAGGTTCTTCATTGTCTGGCTTCTTGTCTGGTTTGTTACGAAAACTTCCGATTCTTCTCAAGTTACTCATGAAGGATGGGGCCTGAGGGGTACAAATGACATTTGATTTGTTAAAATATTATAAAAACCGTGTTTTAAGTTTTCTTGTTAACAGCTTAGGTATCACTATTTGCTGCATGTTAATATAAGTCAAAAGATTGACAGTGAGACAAGAATTCAAAAGTTCTTGTCTTTGAAACATCTCAGATAACTTTACAGATATAAATCAGGAAAAATCATGATATCAAAATGATTAAAATCGATTCTGAAAATATTTTAACTGTTTTTAATTTTAAGATTGATTTTTAAACTTCTTATATTACTTTGAATTAGAATTATAAGTATGAAAAGGATAAGCTTGTTTAAACATGGATTTCTAAAATATAACGGTATATACACCAAAGCTAATATGAATTAACATCTAAGCTTGCCATGTATAAGCATATGAATCAAAAGACATTTCTGTTATTTTCATACATTATGTCATCAATATTGTCATTATTATTATAATAAAACTACAGAAGTCACTCACCAAGAAAAGACAAACACACCATATGGAAAAGCGTCAAAAACAGACAGATCATATATTATTGTAGTATTATTATTATATATCACATCAAATAATTGCACAATGCACTAAAGGAAGATCCACTGTTATGCCAGTAGACTGTGCATTATACTGCTATGATAGTCATTTCGGCTTTAAAACTTGTCCCCAGTCAACCAAATTGAACTTATCAGGGATTCAAGGTGGGACATTCTGGTGAACACCAGGTGGCAGGGCAGTAGTATATCCCACCAGGTGGCAGGGCAGTAATATATCCAACTAAACATTTAATTTCCATGTTCCAGAGACAAGTTTTTGGCCCCCGATGGTCAAGTCAGCTGTAAGCAGTACTCTATGCTAGACATGACAACCAAATCAGAAGCATTGTGAAGCAAGGTCTATTTCATAAATATGAACTTTGGATTTAATTTTGATGAAGATAATACACCGAAAATGCTTCCAAAAAGGCTTTAATGCAATGAAGTTGCTTAACATTCCTATTACACAACTTCGACCAAATGAATACAATTTCATAGTGAATAAAATTTAAGATGATTAATGTAACCAAAATTAAAAGAATAACAACTGTTCATATGAAATTCATATTTCACAAAAAAAAAAAAAAAAAAAAAAAAAAAAAAAATTACACAAATCATAATGCAATAAATTCCTTTGTTCACCATTACAGTGGATATAGCAATTATTGTGGAAAATGTGCTTGCCATCGGACCATGGACCTATCCCTCGGTAATAACTCTTTAAAGATTATAACAAACTTTTTATTAGAAAAAAAATGAACTAACTTTGAATGTCGAAATGGATTCATTAACCACTGGTAAGTATGGGAAAATCATTGTTTGTCTCAAGAAAAGCCTTTTTGGCCAAAGTGAACAGCTGTTATCCCTTAATTTTTTTTCCAATTTGAAAGCACATTCGGAGATGAGATTTTCTATAGTTTATGAACTGATGGTTAATTAGATTAGCTTGATTAAAACAGCTCACAGCAATTCTTTTGTTCTAGTCAGACTAATATTTGTTTTAGGAAGATTGTTTGTTGCATTAAAACATGGTCTAAATAGAATGGCTGAATCAGATTTTGAGTTTCCTAATGGAATTGCCTCAATATTTTCTTTGAGAATATTAATTTTGAAAATAATATATCATAAAATTATAACAAAAATATGAGAAAAATTCCAAAATAAGTTTCAAAATCAGACTGAAGTGACCATTCTATTTCACATTTTATGAACAACCACAATCCCATAATGCCAAGTACCTCCTGTGTTGGCAACTCATGAGCGGACTTAGCTCGAACTTTTCTAACCGAGGTCGAAGACATTTGGATAACATTTTCATAAACCTTATTTGGATCCAATCCCCTTGGGAGGGTCACGGAACCAGGCGATGGAATCTCCTCTCCCTCAAAATCTGAATATTCCTCGAATTCTTCCGAACCCCATCCATCGTCATCATCATCATCATCGTCAGGTTGATCAGCGCCCTCTACAGGTTCGTAGATGTCATCTGGATTGCTGTCTGAGTCTTCTGAAAATGGATTCATTTTTAAATCACTATTTTCCATGAGCACATTTAATTGTGTCTTAACTGTTTGTGTAAATGGATAAAATTGTATGTTAGAAAAACTACCTCTCCATTGCAATCTGTAAGAACAATCATAATAATTTTCATTAATTTTTCTTAACAATATTTCAATAGAAATGTAAGCATTTTATACCTGCATTTCAATCTTGTAATCTGTCAAGTTCACATATTATTTTTTAAGTACAGAAACTCAAATTGTCAATTATCAATACCATAAATAAATACAGCTACTCAGCCATCAAAATTTATCTATATATTAAATGAAATACTATTTAATGAGAATTGCACTAAGTATGTCTGAAGCTAAATGTAACTCCTTCCGAGCCTCATTATATTGTCATATATATACATCAAGATAACAATGCATTCCATTTCCTATCTAGGGGAAGAACAGTAAAAAACAACATTCCATTAAATATCTAGTGGAATAAAAGTAATGTACAGCGTTCTGCCATGTTTCAAAACTGAAGCATTTCATTCACCATGTTATATGATGTCTTTCTATAAACCAGCCAAGTGCTCTCAACAGCCAGTCTAATTAAGGTATTAAGAGGAAAAGAGGGAAACATAAGACATTCCTTCATTTTCTTGAATATGCTATCTTTCCTAATTATATAAAAGATATACAAATTTTGCCACTATTTAAATCATTTAAGTTTGTATATTACTATTATTATTTATTTATTTTTTTTTTTATTTTTTATTTTTTTTTGTCGTAAGCATACAATTACACCATGACTTCAGACCACCTATCCATTATGATAATAAAATACTGTATTTCTACTAAAGCAGAACAGGAAGCCTAGAAAATTGAAAATATATCTTAAGGATGGGATTGTTAAGTTTTAGAATCATCATCATATTAGTACTACAAAAAAGTGAAAGTGAAATCTGTAACAATTGGAATTATCTCATTATTATTATTATTATTGTTATTATTATTGTAATTATTATTATTATTATTCAGGTTACAAATCAAGAGTGCCATAATTACACTAGCACTGGTGCTAACAGGTAGTTTTTTTCATGATATAAAGCTGGATAAATTAGTAGGACAGCCAGTTTGATCTACTGGTCCAGGTGGTTTTAAATTGTCATCATAATTACCTCAGAGTTTTCACCAAAAACCTCATTCAATATAATTTACTTCACACACCCTTCCTCTTGTACAAACCATTTATCCAATGGCATAATCCAACAACTTGCTCTGAGACTCATAAATATATGTATGATGTATTAATCTTTCATTTCAATTGACCCCACCTCCACCCACCAACGCAACATATTCATAACTTTCAGATTAATATTATAATTTATTTGTTAACCTCATCAGAAAATACACCCTCTCATGCATGCGCCCACTTGCACACACACACACACACGCACGCACGCACGCACACACGCACGCACGCACACACACACACACACTCTACTAATATTCAGTTAGTTCCAGTATTATATCATACCCCAGCCCCATGACATGGCAGATGTCAAACATAAAGTGACTTGACCCCCTGTTCCCCCCACCACCCCCCAAAACAAACACATGCTCATAATTTACATCTATCAAATGTAATCAAATGATATAACAAAACTTGAATACAGTTATACAAACTGTTTGTGCATTAAGTAACACATAATTGTTTCACTATCTAAATGTCAAACACAGGGTCATGGTAAATATCACTCTCTACTGAAACCAACTCATGCAAAGACACATCACATACTATATGTACACACTCAACAACATGGTACAGTGGAACCAATTAAATCAACACAAGATATATGACTTTAGTCAAAAATGCAAAAAAAATGGCAGACATAACAATGTAAATACTATAATTTCAAACATGATAGTTTATGTTACAATCAAAGAAATCCCTATCAAGCAGTGAACTAGAAATGACCAGTCGGGAAGAAGGATGGTAACTGCTCTGGTGGAGATGTGCCCTTTAAGTCATTCTACACAGCTCATATGTTGACTCCATTTTAAACATAAAATGCCAACGAAAATAATTCTATCAGCCAATTGTATCAAATCATTATTGATACATGTATAATTTCCTTGTCTAAAAACACATAATTTCATCTAGACTGTGAATATATTAAATAAATTTCTGCTGGATTGGAATGCGATAAGAGGAAAACCTCCACTTGTAAACTTTGACAGAACTTCCAGGGTTATCAGATTACACTATTTATGATGTTAATGTATTAGACTAAGTTTATGTATGATGTAATACATCCAACCTACACCTATACTTACCTATATCCTCATAAACTCCTGCACTGGAGTTAAACATCACGGAGCGAAAATCTAAGGTTGATTTTAAATAATTTCAAAATAAATGCTTATTAATAATCTATTTACAGTTACAGTTATCTTGTTATAAAACAGATAATTTTTTTCAAATTATTCCTAATCTACACTCAAATCTATCACCATGAATTGTTATCTTTTCAACTTAAAAGTGTTATGGAAAATCAACAAAAACGTTAATGTTAAACATAAATACTGTCCCAGAAAAAAACTGATTGAAATGTAAATATGCCAGATTGTTTGAAAATAAATAATATGGTTGACCAATACAAATTCTCAATCAGTCTCATAATAAATGTTAATTGTTTGATTAAATATACCGACCAATAAAATAAAAGTGTTTTTAAGTACATAAACTAGCAGAGAATTAAAAAATCTTTTGGGTGGGCATTAATTAGCAAAATTCTGAACTTATTCACTATAATGTTAAACATTATGCCAAATAAACTCACAGACATAAAAAATGAAGACTGTTAGAAACATAAAAATGTTCACTAAAATGATAAAAATAAACATTTTCTTTAACAAGGCTAATAATTAGCCAAACCCACTGACTACTCACCTGCCATGTTAGAGGCAGTCCCAGCACGGTCATCATAGACAAAATAGGCTGGTTCTTCTTTTTTAACTTGACCTTGACCTATATCTGCTTGACCTTCACCTTTACCTTCACCCTGAAGGTCCCCAGCATCCTTAGCAATATTTTCATCTGAAATGTATTGAAAGATCAATAGACATAATGGCTAAGACAAAATTTATGTAGAACTCAAAAAGAACATTTACCAACTTGTCTCCTTGGAAGTTTGAATAAAATGCAAGAGAAAAGGTACCAGCAGCAAGCTCTGTCATGGTATTATCTATATATTTAACATGTAGATATAATGACCCACTAACTTACAATGACTCACACTAGTTTCTTTGGGCCTAAGTCAATTTTAATACTTTTCCTGAATAAAAATACTTTAGTTGTTGTTCATACTTCAACTACAAGTACAATATAATATATAACTACACAACTGCAGCAACATTAGCCCAAGTACTATGTTACCACTATACTGCTATGCAGCTATTGCAACCTCACCCAGTCAATCACAGCGCAAAGCCTTTAAATGTTATTCTGTGTGGAAATTATTCATATCTTTAGTGACAATAACAGGGAATAAAAACTTAACACCAATGGGACAGCAAGATTAGGAGATCTTCAGTACTGCATAACATCACATGAAACTAGTAAAAATGCAAGAATGCAGTTGAGGTAGGGTTAAATTTATAATGATAACTGTTTCAGCCTACGTGCCAAGAAATCCTTCTTATTAAGCACTTTAAAAGTGACACCCAAAACATTATAAATTAGTACTGTGGTGCAATTACTGATACCAATTCAAAAGAGTTCCAAAAAAAAATAATAATAATAATCCCCCCCCACACACACACACACCCAAGAGAAAAAATGAAAATGTTATATTAAGTTTTCTGTTCATAGTCTTTCTTTTGGCTGAAATTCTTTAATATGGTTGAATATGCATGTCCTAGTATAAATCTCAGAGAAAATGTTCACTTAATTAGGTGGCTGAGTAAAGTGTGTCCCACATATAAAACTTTCCCCACTGTTTTATTGTGAAACTGCTGAGAAAAATTGAACACAAGATTTCTGGTTTCCATTACAGCACATTACACTGTAACCTCCTGTAAATCAAACAAAACATCAGCAAGTTCATGGTGAAAACTTTGAACCAGGTTTGTATTGTCTTAAATTTGATCTCGTTGAATGTCTGGTTTAAAATAATTTTATCTTGGAAAAAGGTTTTATTGTGATGTTCTTTAAAATTTAAAAACGTTATTATATTCTGACTCTACTATAGAGCACTTCAGTTCAATATTCCATTTTATCGTTTGATATTCAATATTTTAAATCAGAAAAAAGTTTTTTTGGTAAATAGATTGTTCATAGACACAGAAACCATAAAATGGTGAAAAGAAATCATGTTCTTAAATAAAATATAAACTACACCAATGTTATAAGCCAAGCCAAGTAAGTTATAAGAGCACAAAACATAATGAAGACACACAAAGATGGGTCTAGACCACTTCATATCCTAACTCTAAGATATCGGAAACTAATCAATAAGCAGTAACAAGTCAGCATGCTAATTCTGTGGGAAAAGGAAACTTGGGCTGTGTTAAAGTTTTGGGGGTAAAAATTGGAGAAAAGATGGGAAAACAAGACCCCTGGAGGGGTATAATTTTCCCTCTCTGTTAATAGTTTTTGTGGGGAAAATGGGAGAAAAGATGGGAAAACAAGACCCCTGGAGGGGTATACCTTCTCTCTCTCTCTCTCTGTTAATAGTCTTTGTGGAGAAAATGGGAGGAAAGATGGGAAACAAGACCCCCAGAGAGGTATACCTTTTCCCACTACGTGAAATGGGAGAAAAATGGGAGAAAAAGATGGGAAAACAAAGCACCCAGAGAGGTATAATACCTTCTCCCCCTGGGGCTGGACTGATCAAATAGCCATAATGACCCAGTGCAGGTTTTTTATTTTTCTTCTTAGCTGCACGCCACAACACGTCGTAGGAAGAAATGACATCCAGTGCTGCAAGGCCAAATTGGGTTAGGATATATATATATATATATAGATGGTAGACTTATATTTTGAAATTAAATAAAATAATAAATAAAACTCCTTCGTCTCAGCAGGGCTCAAAGGCAAAGTGCCACATCACCATATTAGGTATTATTATGATCAAGCAAATCCCAACAATCACAGCAGTAATCTAGGATATTAACATTAAAATACTACAAAACATAAACGTGCACAGTTGCAGCACTTGCATACACATGCAGGACGGGGAACAGCACCAGGCCAAGGGGGTAACAACACCAAGGCAAATCAAATATAAATAAGCCCCTTTATACCCCAAAATAAATCCTAAATAAAAACATTTTTGGAATACTTGAAAGCAACCAAGTTTAGTTTGTTTGTCCAATAATAATAATAATAATAATAATAATAATAATAATAATAATCAGTCAATCTCTTATTGCACCAAATGCACAATCACATGAAAAGTTTTCTCTAAAAACTAAAACTATTCAACAACAACAATCATCTACTTTTCTCACCATCTGGCTTCTGCGGTCTACTGTTAACAACAGTTTGATCAGAAACTGGTAAGCTTTCCACCGGAACATCGTCATATGGCATCTTTGACTGAACATCCACTTTATTATCTTGGTCATGATTGGCTGATGCTTTGTTATCTGTGTCCTGATTGGTTTGTTCTGTCTTTTGGCTTTGTGGGCTTGCCGCATCATTTTGTTCTTCAGGGACATCTTCATACAGCTGCAAATATGGAAATAATGTGAGTTTGTTGAAAGCCATATGTTGTTTTAAGAAAACTTCAGTAGTTTGCACTAACAATACAAACCAAAGTACATGTTATTCTAACCCCCCTCCTCTACACCCACCATAAAAAGTTCTAAGGAAAATGTAATTTATATTTGGGGATTTCTTTAAGTTGTTCTAAGCATTCAGTTTTTTTTAAGTCTAATGACTGCATTGGATCCTATGAAGTAATAAAATAAGAAATAACCTTTCCTTCTTTTGTTTTAATGTCAGTCTCGTTTTAATTACCATTTTGACCAGTAACTTACTTCTTCCTTAACCTTTGACCTTTCCTGGACAGGTGACACATCTTCAGGAATGTCGTCATAAATGGCATCATTAACATAATGGTTATATTGACCATTCGTTAGTTTCTTGGCCACAGGAGTGATCTCATCCCTCGGTAGAAGTGGTGGGGGTGAAACAGCTGTTGTAACAGCTGTTGTTCCACTGGAGGTCTCTACTACCATCTGCTCACTAGATGTCGCCTCTGGCACTTCTTTTTCTTCTGCAGTGAATTTGTTTTCTGATGAAAGTAGACTTAAAAGACAAAAAATCATTCATGTTAGCAAGTATATAATATCAATAAACAAGGCAGTAAAGTCGTCAAATGTACAGTCATAAAGCAGGAAAAATGTCAATTTTCAAAACTTTTTAAAATCATATTAAATAAGCAATATACTATAATTTTTTATATGATCAAATAACAAAATTGTTGATTTGGGAAAAATATCAAAAGAACAATTCTAAGTGTCCAATTTGCTCCATTCTGAGATTCTGAACATAGGGAATGATTGAATCTGACAAACGGTAAAGATATGAATTAATTTCCATTTTTGACACTTTATTACACAATACACGATAACAGATTTACCATTATTTTTACAAAGTCAACTAAGAAATTGTCAAGATGCAGAAAATGTTATGTTTCAGTAAAAACTTTTTTAAACTTACCCTGTAGAATATATCACATGTGTCTGAGGCATAGGAATGTTGGGAGTTTCACTGAAAATTTTTGTCATTTCTTGGACCTTAGAGACACCTAGTGGTGGCACAGACACCGTGTCATCATATGCTCCAGATTCTTCTATTGCACTTTCAAAATGCACATGGCTTTCCTTCTTTGAATTGAAATCAGTTCCTTTTCCTTCTGCTAAGTTTTGTTCTTGAGATGAAAGACTGGCTGAATCTTGTTCCATTACAACCGATAAATTAACAGGATGGGCCATTTCATAGTCTTCTACAGCAGAGGCAGGAAAAGCTGGACTGTTTTCTAAAGTTCCTTCCAAATCATCATCCCCTGCTGTTGTTCCCTCTCCTACAAGCCCTTCATCGATGTCATCAAGGTTGTAAGATCCTGTCGCAGCCAAAGTGCTGTTATCACCACAACTTTCTACAGAATCCTCAAAATTTTGACCTGAATTTGTCCGATTAATACCAGTCTCTAGAGCTCGTTCAAGAACTCCTTCAAAATCCCCACTCTCGGTTAACTTTGACCTTGGCCTTGTTTGACCTCGGTCAAAGTTCACGCCTTCCTCGAAGTCTCTGTCTGTGGCCTGTTTGTAGCTGGACTGTCGCCAGTGTCCAGGTGGAGGCAAGGTGGAGTTACTTTTGTTATCTTTCTCTGACATTTTTATAACGACCCAAGTTGCACAACTGCCGTCTTCAACATGTTCTTGATAAGCTCTCTAGTTAAGTGAGGCCTGAAAAGATACATTATTGTAATTATTGGTTTATCACAAGCTGCCACATGATAGAACTAATGGTCCATTACCTTTGAATTCTTTTTAAGGTAGAAGTGGCTTTTTAAAGGGATGGGGAAGGGAGGAAAACACGAAAACTCATCCTTCACCTTCACTGATTATCATTTTGCAACTTGTATTTTAATTCTTGATTGCCTTATGCCAACCCACTAAAATCATTCCAATTTTTCAACATTATGTTAATATACAGTAGTCTTCCTTTTCAATATTTTTCTGACTAATGCAAAATGTTTTTAAATTGGTGTCATTAAAATTTGCAAAATTTAAAATTCATGTTAGTAAATAAAATATGTCTATTTTGGTTTTGTTAACATTGTATAATGGTGACTTCCTGAATTTTTACTTCTGATCACTAGTACTAGTAAATTATCAGCCATGTTTGCACACAAGTTAGAGTGACCTACATTTGTAACTTAGCACAAGTCTAAAGTGATTATGTGGAAATAGGAATCGTCCATGATAGCCAATAACATCTCTCACATCACAAATCAGACACTGGTCTGCTGAAACAGTTACTATAGTCTACAGTATTTTTTTTCTTTTTTAAGGATATCCATCCACATCAAGAATATGTTTTGTATTCATCCCATGAAGTGTGTGAGTGTCAAGGCAAAAGTTAACCTGTTGAGTTGTGGAAAAAGCACTGTTAGTAAATGAATGAGTGCATTCACTCATATTGAAACAATGTGACAGAGATAAAAAGGATTATCTAGTCTCACTTTATGATACTTCTCAACCACTGGATCAGAATATATATCATTATCACATTGTAATTTTACTCATGTTTAGAAGCTTAAGTCACATATTTCATATTGTAAACATTCTTAAAACAGTTCTTTTATTACAATATCAAATGTTTTTTTTACACTAATGAACTTGAAAAATAAATCATTCTCAATAACACACTTCCCTTCACAAAATATTTAACTCTTTTTCAGATACTGAAAACAGGTATCATTTAAGGAGACAAAACACGAAATTTACTTTGCTCCAATTTAATGAGAGAATGTATTGAAATTTTTATTCAAATCATAACGAACATAATCATTAATAACATCTGAACATGTTAATTATCTTAGGAAGAAGGTATTTAAACAGCATTCCATTTTATGTATTAATTTAAGAGGCTAACACCAGTCTCCAACACACTGAATTTGAAAATATACATATCAGACCAGCCAACTTTTCCTTCAGGAAGATGAGATATCATAACCAATGTGAAACAGCAAACTAAATCAGGGATTTCTTTCTACTAAATGATACTAAATGATTGCTGAGGATAAACAAAGAGAAAATCAGAATAAAACGAAGGTTGGCACTGAGCAGTACCTGTGGCTCCAGGTCAGCTAGGATTGAATACCCCATCCCCTAGAGCAATGACCCCAAACAAGCAGACAATGACCTCATTGTGCTCATGTCTACCTGTATATATTATAGATCTATAGCAGCAGTCTGAGCAGTAGAAGTAGTAGTAGAAAAGAAGTAGTAGTACTCAGCACTTTAGTAATGTGGCAGTTTCACTGCATGGAATGCTACACTTTAGACATTTTTTTTCTTTGTTTCAGCCAAACAAGTGATTTCCACCTCCACAAAAATAACGACTTGACAAAACATGAAAAAATGTTTTCCTAAAATCAGCCAGAGTCAACTCTTTTTCTCTCAGCAAATAGAACCAGACATAAGCCTAAGTTTAAAAAAAACTCGGAACATTTATTGAATTTCTAACAAGACAAATCTTAGGAACCATCAGAATTGAATTAGAAAATAAGGAATTCCACGTTTCCGCAGAAAAAGTTCATGTCTGTAGAACAAGGCAGTTTCTCACACTGGCAGGGGTCTGGGCTGGTCCACACGATGTGCTTCACGGATTTCCAATGATCATAATGTTGAATAATATTACAGTTATATAGGTCAATGTATTCAGTGGGAACAACTCACGTGGGCGACCTCATTGTGTATCTAACAACTTAAAGGAGGCAGAGATGCCTTTATCAAGTTGACAATCTGCCACACTCTTAAACCAAGCTCATTTTTTATTTTTTTAATATTACAGAAGAAAATGAAGCCCTCTGGTGGTGATAAAGTTCACTTGAAGATATCTACACTTAGTACACTGGTAATACAGACATGTTTACTTGAATTGAATTCTGATGGAAATTCAGTCTGTTGATCATCATTCTGCACAAAACTCAAGTCTGAACCAAGATGGGGAGAAGGGGGCTGGGGGGGGGAGGGGGAGAGGGGGCAATTGTTACACACATAGGACAACACTATTACTAAGACACGTAAATAGTGCTTAGTATCATAGTAAAACACGCTGAGGGAGTGACTGAAAGCTATGTAAGGTACAGCATCAATTTAGTGTAAATTGAAAAGTATATCCTTATACCATGATGTATACTTGTGGTTTCTATTATAAGATATCAGTAGAAGTCATGCATAACAGGCATTATGGCAGCTGATTTTAATAAGGATCATATACGTGTGGAACATGATGCAGAAGACATTTACTGACTGTGAGAAAAAATAATACTGTAATAGTAATAAAGCACAAGTAAATGTATCACGCCAAGATAACATATCCTTATTACTCAATCTATTAATGGGAAAAATTGTGAATATTAAAGGCAGATCGCACATTCATATAGCAAATTAAACAAAAAAGAAATTTCCTAAAAACTTCATTAATATTCCATATTGGCCAAGATATATCCTATCTAAAACTGTTGAGCAAATGAAACTCCAATGAGCTATTTTCCAATTCTATAACTGTACAAAAGAGACGTTAAATGATCTCCTCTAAATAAGCCATCTTCCATATCTAGGTATATCCTGCAAAACATACAATTTTTTATTATTAATAAGTTTCCAAAGTGACTCATGTATGATATATACTACTAGGACTAAGATTCAGATGTTTGTTTTAGGCGCCAAAATGGAGACATTGGAAACATCTGATAAATGTGATACTAAGAGAGATGAAGAAAAAAACATAGACACTCCCAAAAAAACCTAAAGAATGACAAGAGATTGGAAAAGAGACATTCCAACAGGCTTTTTTAAAAAATAAGGAGGGTAATTGACACTAAAGCAAGGTTTGCAAGGAAAAATTAACCAATCAACAAATATTTCATCACACTGTCTGTACTACTCTCATTCAGTAAGGTCAAAGAAGACTAAACATTTAGTCTTAAAACTAAGATCAACTTTGGAAGGAAAGTTCTTGAGAACATGCTTTGAGGCTGTGTTCAGACAATGACAATTGGACATCAACTTGTTTAAGATCACATGACATCATCATACTGAATCTTAACCAGTTTACACCCCAGCAGAAAACCATTCCAAGAATCCATTCTAATGCACCAAACAGAATGTAACATGCTAGTAATTGTAAAAGGAGCTAAAGCAAGAGAAAGAAGACTGAAGAGGACTTTTTTTTCTTAGGGAAATTAAGAGTCGGTGTGAAAATCCTGACAGGATACGAATGCACTATACTGAAACCTTACTAGGGGAAACTTGGGGAAATTGTTCTTTAACACTAACAGTAAGTCTTCTAAAGCAAAGAAGCCATTTCAAGGCAATAGATATCACTTTTTTCACTTTGAGCTCATTCCCTTTTACATCAATGGTCTACCTGATCAATTCAACTCTGTGGAGACTCTCGCTGAGTGCAATCACCTTAACTGAATGAAACACTTCCTCTTGTTTGCAATGTACTCAGACAATCACCAGCTTAGCTGTATTCTACTCAATGCCAAGTCATTCAGTTTTGCTGACTGCACTCAGCGAGAGTCCTGATGGAGTTAGATCATTATACATAGACTGATGGTGTCAATGGGAATGAGCCCTTGGTGATTTTTGAGATGTAGTCTTTGTTTTTCTACATATAGCAGAATACAGTACCTTTCTTAACTGTCAAAAATTAAAGGCTGTAGGCTAAATAAGTATGAAATGACCAACTTAATTTGGGGTCACCTGGTCACATAGTACTTGGGGGTTTTGCATGCACCTCCGCAAGATGTTGTCACTCCCGGGACCTGTAAGATATTGCTCAAAGTGACTTAAGCTGTTAACATGGTTTTCTGCTTCCTCTCTCTCTCTTAGGCCATTCACATCAGAACATTAATCGTGGTTGAGTTTACTCCGATTAAACCGCGGTCAACCAAACTGCGTTCACAATGACACCGGCAGCGATCAGTAGCGGTAGAATCTCAGCATGCGCTCTTTACTAGAATCTGTGAAACGTGACGGGAGCTCAAATGACGATATACTTGTGTGGTTCATATGTAGACATCCGGTCTTGACCGCAGTCAGGAGTTTACTCCGATTATACCCACCTCCCGATCTGGGTTATTTCGACCGCGGCCAGGGCTACATCGTCCATTCGCATTAGAAAAGTTAACCGCGATAGGTCCGAGGTCAGGCTTTGACCGCAGTTAAAAGTGCTAGTGTGAATGGGATATCTGTGTGTGTGTGTGTGTATAGTCACCAAAGTCGCAGGGAAGACTGTTCATTTTTCAGTTCTATGAGGATAAGCTCACACATGTACAGCTGGTAGGCAAAACAGGATGATGATTTCATCAGAACAACCACATCTACATGTTTCACCCGTCAAAGCTTAACTTTGGGTCGTGACTACCCTACACTTCTTTCAATTATACAGTAGCTTCCCTTTATTGTTTATCCTTGTCACTCTGCCAAGCACTGTGCTATAATACATACTGGGGCTGAACAGTGAAGAAACTAGTATTAATCCAGCAGTAATCTGGCCAAGAAACAAATACTTCTACTCTTGTCTGATCTTTCACATATATGTCTCGCCCATTATAATTATATTACAATTTATAATCACTGCAATTGTTAGTTACATATGATTTTGGGTGAGACAACATTAAAAATACGACCTCCGTCACCAATCTGATCCCTCACTCCGCATGCCGACCTTTAGGTCTGGACCACGGCTAAACAATGCCTTATCTCCGGTGATATATAATATTTATACCTGTAGTCTCTGTGCATAGCGAAGCGTCAACGTGTTGACATTATGCAGTAGCCTGGTAGGGCTCTTATCATGATTTAGCTCGTACATTTTCGTGTCAGGTTTTCCTTTCACCCCCCCCCCCGTTGCACTAAGGTATAGATTGAGATAGTTCAGGAGCAGGGTCTGTATAAACTACTGATTGAAGATGAAGAACATCAGCGTCTATTTTCGTACTCACCCTTACTTTATTAACTACTGACATGTCCAAAGATCTCTTCCCTATTACTACTTCCATTAATTTCCTCCTGTTTAGGTAGAAAGTAGGTCATGTGATACCAGTTTATTTATGGCTCTGATTGGTTGGATTTTATGCAAGACGGGAGCAATTCAACATCTGTGTGAAAAAAAAAACATTCAGATTTTATCGTAGGCCCTATCGATACACACTTTCACGCAAAGGGTACAGTGTTAAATAACCCCCAAAAATGTGTGATATACCGCCTTCTGAACCGCTCTACTGTTAGAGGTGAGCTCAGGAGAAACCCAGTTCTGATTAGTATGCTTGTTGCCCTGGCGTCTAAAACTGGTCCTTTCTTAGACTGGGTTCCCATAGGCCCTACCTAGATCGATCTTACAGGATCGAGCCATCTCCGAGGGGTTTCTAGCTAAATGCTTTCAGCTTAAGCAGCTAAGATGTTTGGTGCGCCTACTGAAACGATACTGCTTAACGATAATTAATTGCCAACTAGAAGCTTCAGTAGGCGTGACAGACACCTAAGCCGCTGAAGTTGTTTTCAGTTTAAAGCGAGATCGATCCACAGTTAGTACGACAGGGTCTGGGAATGGTCTCTTAATCTCCTAAGGAAAGAAATCCCTTGAAGCAGACTGGAGGTAGTTGAGTGTTCGGAAATAATAATAATAAATATAATTTCAGTTTAAAATCCATTTAAATGTTCATTAGGACAACACTTAGGCCTATTAACATAAAAAACAAGTAGGCCCTAGGCCTACGAAAACAACAAACTTGAGAACACAAAATATGAAAATTTATAAAAAAACTGGAATATTAGGATTTAAGAAAGTACAGCCTTTATTTCTCAAATAAAAAACTTGCAGTAATTATTAATAAAATGCATAAAATTTCTATAACCATAACTTTAATTAATTTTCATAAAAATCATGCACAGTTAAATGTCAGTCTGTTTTGAATTTTTGATCATCTTTTTCAAAATTATGTATTTCAAGATACATGAATAAATGGAACACAATATAGTGTTTAATTTCATACAACATCTCTCGGTTTCTATATATCAATTACGGAATTCTTTATTTTCAGGACTTCTGAAAAAGGATTTAAAACCATGATTACTTTTCAATTTTTTGTGTATGCCGTATGAAGGAAAAACGCCCACCTCGCGATTTAACACGAGACCGTGTTATTTTATGAAAACAGTAATAAGACACCCTTTTTAGATAACACGCATAAACCGGCGCGAAATGATTGTAAATTATTGAGCGGAGTGCGTCTTATTCACTCGCGCTTACAACAGTCGCTTGGAAGTGAATACACCCAGTCCACACAGGTCCACTTCTCATACCATATAATAATGGCAGTGAGAAGTTCTACCCTCTGTTTTGGATTAATTTTGGTCTTCTTCATGCTGCATCTTGGTGTTTTTGGACACGGGACCACCTCAAGTGAAATTCTCCAAAACACCCTTGAGATATTGAGATTGAAGCTGGGATTAATGGAAATCAAGTTAGAGAAGGTTGGTGACAAACTTGAGAAGATGGACAGCAAACTGGACACCAAACTGGAAACAGTTAACAAGGGTTTGCAAACAGTGCAACAGAAAATGGACAAATTGACAAGTATGCGAATTACATTGATATTATTTTATTAAATTGCACATCAAAGCTTAACATCCAAATCATACATAAAGCTTTGTAATATGCATGTACCGTATTACGAAAAAGTAATGCATTTTTGAACGGCTTCAAACGTATAAAATAACCATAACCGTGATTTTAATGAATTTTCATCAAAATCATGTACAGTTATAGCAAATAGGTTAAGTAAAACGCTGACTCGTTAAGTTCTGTTTACTAACTACCCGGTATTTAAGGCGGAAATGTCAGTCTGTGTCGCATTTTTCAGGATGTCAGGCTCCGTTTGTCCTGCTGGATGGCCGATGCTACATGTTCTCTTATATGAAAAAATCTTGGTCAGATGCACAAGCTTATTGTAGGAGCAAATCTTCAAATTTAGCAACTATACCGTCCCAGCGTGAGAACGACATGATTGACTCCTACCTACGAAATCAATTTCCTGGTAGGTACATTTTCCATAAATGTCAAACTGATGACATCAATTTGCCTTTAAAATAATTTTCAATGACAAATTAGCTTGGTAATGAACTTTTTTTTTTTTTTTTTTTGTTGCAAAATTTAATGAAGACCAGGTCTGATCAAGGAAAAACACCTTGTGCCAATATATCAATAGCGACGTTTATCATAATCACACAAATTTGTCATTCACTCATTTATTTATTTACTTATTTTTCTATTCATGAAAACGTTACGTATGGTTCCCGGAAAACGTCTGAACTACCAGCACCTGTTTTAATTTTTAAAAGGTGTAAAATATGGTGCAAATATCTATGTATGTATTAAGATAGATAGTAAGCAATCAAGGAATCTGAAAAAGTGAAAGCGCAACTAGCTTTCGACTGGTATATTGCTTTGCGATGTGGTTTCAGAAAAGACGACCACATATTGAAGTGGTGCGACTTCTTAACTTTGTTTTCTCCCTTTTTAGCCAGGAAGTCCTGGTGGTTGGGCGGTAGTGATATAGCACAGGAGGGGAGATGGGTGTGGGTAGATACCAACATGGCTATAAGTTATACTGACTGGTATCAAGGACAACCTGATAACGCCAAAGGATCGGAAGACTGCTTGCATTTCTATTTGTGGACACCCGACGCTTACAGTTGGAATGATTATCCGTGTGTCAAGGCACTGAACTTCATTTGTGAAAAGTAACTCAAGTCAATGTTTTCATGAACGTTGCTCTATATGGCACTGATAAGATAATGAACACATCATTTATTTATTTATTTTGTAAAAAAACATTGAATTGATATTTAGAAAGATGATTTAAGCCAATCTTTGAGTTGTTTTACCAAATATTACGGGTTTGGCTAAGAATGCCAAGTTTGAATAGACATAATATACGTAAATATACTCAATGGTATTGGTATGAGGGCTATTTTCGACCATTAGGTCCAACCCAATTTTATTTCCATTATTACATCTTTCGCATTATGTCCAAGGCGAAATACATTACAAGGTAAAATACATACTATTAGACAGAAAACTGGAACTTTGCTAAGGGTACATCTGCCTGCATTCTCACCTTGTTTATCCGCGTAATTCATAAATACTGTAAAACAAGTCTGATGGTCCCTTTCTTTATCTGTTTCTTATTCAGGCTTGGTTTGGTGCGTTAATTCCCGTTTTGATGTCTTGTTTTGTGTGGGTGAATTTTATTCTGTGTTGTTAGCAAGAAATATTTTCTTCTTTTAATTTAACTACAGTGTTGTTGCTGTTTTGATTTTTCACTCATTTACAATTTAAAAACTATATTTCATCGTGATTAGTACAGGGGTATTTACACAAGGATAGTAAATAGTAGGACTATGGATACTACAAGATGAAAATGAAACATTAGAACAGACCAATGATTTTATTTCTCTTAAATAATATTCAGTTATTAATACTCGGTTGCAAATAACCTGGAACTTTATTTATAGGTTTGGGTTTGGATATAGTAGTGGAAGCTGTATTCTATTATAGTTCTCGTTTACACGTGAGTTATTCAGGCAAATAAAAGTTACCCCATATGATTAATTGTTGGATTGTTGATGCAAAATGCTTCTACAGTTTTGATTTATGTTGCTTTGCCTCCAAGGTGAAATATTTTTATATAGATAATTGGGCGCTTTTGGGTACATTTTTCGATGCTCTCATCTATTTTATTTGGAGCATGAATTCAGTAATACTTATGATTAATACTAATTACTACATGTAATTTGTCGGTTTTTCGAGTATTTTATTAAGACTGTTTGAGCATTTTGTTCATGGAACTATATGGCCGCATAAATAGCATTTTTAATAATTTTGGTGTCTTTAAACCAATCACACAGCTATACATCTTCCAATTCAAATGTTGCTGCAAATCTTATCAAATTATACGATAAAATTGAATAAACCTTATCTTGTCATATTTTGTATTTGCACAGGAGTTATTAACATGCATTATTTCAAATAATATGGTGATCAAAATTCAGTGATATTCGTTGCTAGTTTAATCCGTTTATTTAGATTTTAATTGAAACTGCCGATGCTTTCTTCTCCAATATACCTCGGAAGTTCTTGTTAACACGTGAGTTATTCAGACAAATAAAAACTATCATAGCAGTTATAAGATGAATTATCGATACACGAGATAAAACGTTAGAGTTGCACTTCATCCCCGTGCAGTCCAAGAAAATATATGAAATGTATGTACTAGTTAATATTATTATAAAGAAAATGAGACGATTTTAAAAAGTAAAGAAACACATGAAGTGATCCATTGTTTTTCTCAAATAAATGCCAATACTAATATGTATGTCAATAGTTCAACATACATTTAACACGACAAGTACAAAACATCGCCATAAACCAGTTTCTATGGCAGGTTTCCGTTTTGATGAATGATTTTCTTACGAATGTTTTACTTTGTGCAATTTTAAACAGCTAGAGCGATGATCCATTAATACAAATCGCTCCCGTCGCTACACGGTGCTTCTGTGAAAATATACACGAGTATCTCTTAATAGATTTATCTATTACAATGCATATGTTTTCATGTTCGCAATTAAATCTGATTTTTAATATATTTTGGGCTACTGTGTACTTTATACTTCACGTGCGCTTCATGTTAGACAATTTTTTCAATGTACATGGACAAATGTAACATATAACAGAATTTGATTGCATACAAGTCACATTTTCTGAATAAAGTCTATTTACACATACTTCATATATATTGAAAATAAAAAGTCTGCTAGTTTTTTTTTTTTTTTTTTTTTTGCATGAATGACTCGTTTGTTTGGTTGTTGTCATTTATCAGTCATAAAATAGGGAAAAATTGAGATAAAATGATTTTGAAAAATATATTCATATTATATGTCAAGTTTTTAATTTACTGGAATTGTGGGTACTTTATTCTGAATACACGATAGAGTTTCCTTTAAAACGGTATATCGTTTTGTTATTTCTTTTCTTATTTCTTATTTTCATTACGACGCTGATTGTTTTCAGAACATCCCAATAAAAAGCTTGATTCATCATCATAAATTTTCATGTAGTTTTGTCTACCGTATGAAGGGCGCCTCACGATTCAACATGACAGAATGATTTTCTCAAGGAAAGAAATCAGACACCTTTTTATAGATAACAAACATCAAGTAACGGTTGCTTATTATAAAGCGTAGTGCGTACGCGTCTTATTCACTCGCATTCACAGCTGTAGCTAGGAAGTTGATAGACGCAGCTCGCACAGCTCCACACCTCACACCGTGTAATTATGGCAATGACAAGGTCTGTCCTCCGTTTTGGACTCATTTTGGTCTTCTTCGTGTTGCAGCGTGGCGTTTTTGGACACGTGATCTGTCCAGGTGAGCATGCATATCTTCGTAATACACTTTCAGAGATAATGTAAACTTCTGACGATGGGCATCAAACTGGAGTTGACCGAGCTTTGTAACAAATGCAGCGAAAAATAAATGAATTTAAAAGATTGCCACTATAGCTTATATTTTGTTATTTTTAAATTAAAGTTACATATCAAAGCTAAGTATTCAAATAATTTGCACAGTAATATTTGTGAAATGCCTTTAATGCGTTACCATTCGAAGTTGTTTTTAACTTGAATTTTGTTTCATTAAGTTCTGTTTTCCATCTTTTAAAAAAGATGCAGCCTAATAGGAAAAATGTAAATTTGCGCTGAATTTTTTTAGGATGTCTGGCACCTTTTGTGCAGCTTGGTGGTCGATGCTACTTCTTCTCCTATATGCAGAAATCGTGGTCACATGCACAAGCCTATTGCAGGAGCAAATCTTCACATTTGGCAAGAATAACTTCCCAGCATGAGAATAACATGATTGTCTCCTACGTACGAACTTATTTTCCTGGTAGGTATACGATTTCTTACGTGGTTGTCAGGCTGTCAGGAATGTAAAAATTGTTCGTTAGATGTAATTAGGACCAATATTGATCGAGGAGAAAAAATCAATAGCAGCGTTTATCGCAATCATATAGGCCCTAATTCTGTTTTACTTTTAAAAAACAGTTTATACGCAAATAAACAGATATAAAAAGAGTGCCTGTTAACGAAAATGAAGTCTGAAAATCGACAGTACAACTAACCATTGCTTTGTGAAGTGTTTTAAGGAAACACCACATCTTGAAATGATGGGATTCCTTAGATTAGTTTTTTCGTCTTTCAGCCGACTTCAACTGGTGGCTGGGTGGCAATGACATGGCACAGGAGGGCAGGTGGGTGTGGGTGGATACTAACAAGGTTATGACGTATACTAACTGGAATCCAGAAGAACCTAACAACATCAAAGGAATCGAGCACTGCTTGGAATTGCGGTCAGACTATACACATAAATGGAATGATGCACCGTGTGGGAAGGCAAAGAGTTTCATATGTGAAAAGTAGCAAAGGTGGCCATTTCCCTGAACTACCAAGTAGTTGAAGATAATCAATTTCGTGAAATTGAAATATTTCATTAAACAGACAACTGGAGGCTTTATTTGGATACATCTGGTTGCATTTTCATCTAGCTGATATATGGAATGTGCAACTTCTCTATACTGCAAAAGTCATTTGATTGTTTCCTTTATTACTATGTGGACTTATTTTATATCTTCTGTCATTTCTCGTTTTGTTAGTAGGCCTACTGGTTGCATGAGTGAGTACTATTTTGTGCATTTAAGAAAGCATTCCTGTCTTTAATTCGATTAGTTGTTAACATCTTCCAACAAAGTGATGTTGCTAATTTGACTTTTATTTGTCAATGTCCGATAGGATTTCATAAGTTTTATTTCAAAATTTTCTTTCAACGTATTGTGAATTTACACTGTAGTTCATAGCGGAACTGCCAGTAGAACTAGGCTAGACAAAAAATAAAAAAAGCAACCATGCTTCGCAGTGATAAAACTTCAATTCCAATATTCTTATTGGTTTCATATTGTATTTGTTTTTTAATTCTTGCAGAGATTTTCCTCACAACTTGTGTTTACACGTGAGTTATTCGGGTAATTAAAGCTTCCATATAAAGTTCATTGTTGAGTTGATTATACCACAAGAACAAATTGCTGCCACAGAAAAATACTTACCTTCAGTCCAAGTAATATATTAGGAATGTAAGCAAATGTATACAAAGTGAAATAATTCTGAAAAGTGTTTTATTCCAAATCGACAACTATACACCAATTTCTGCAATCGGTTTTCATTTTGAAGATTTTTTCTCTACCGAACGTTTGTGCTATTTTAAATGGAATGATGGTGATAACATGTACGTCAATGTTTCTCCTATCAGCGGAGTTTTTTAAAAGTCTATTGAACAGACCTTTTCTCGATTTTAGACTATAAATAAATATTTTTTTAAATAAAACAATCTGTCTCCGACGGTCTGCTTTGCTTGGTTATTTCTTATTTTCTTCTATTAATTACGGCGTCGTTTTTTAGGACTTCCCAATTAAAAATAAAACAAAAAAGGATTAAGCATTGTAAGGTTTTAATTTAAGGTGTACACCGCGTGGCGAAAAACACCCACCTCGTTATTCAACATAAGACCGTGACATTTTTATGAGAAAGAAATGGGACACCCTTTTTAGATAACAAAAAAAAAAAAAAAAAAACAACTAGCGTAATGCGACTACAAATTATTGTGCGGAGTGCGTCTCAATCCTCACATTCACAGCTGTAGCTTGGAAGTAAATAGTGGCGGCTAGATCCACACCTTACACCGGGTAATAATGGCAGTGAGGAGGTATGTCCTCTGTTTTGGACTAATTTTGGTATTCTTCGTCATGCAGCATGGCGTTTTTGGAGACGGGACCACCTCAAGTGACATTGCTTATCTCCGTAACACACTGGAGACAATGCAAATGAAACTGGAGAAGATGGACAGCAAACTGGTGACAGTAAGCCAAGGTTTGCAACAAGTGCAGCGGGAAATAAATGAATTGACAAGTATGATATTGGTATTATATATTAATGACATCATTATTATCAATGATGCATGTGATTAAAACCATCGATTATATATTCACAGAAATTTTCATTCAAACAAGTTTTCTGAAATATATTATCTGCATTGGGAAAGGAATGAATTTCAAATGCATTAAAGAATATTTCATCACAATTAAGTTGCTTCTAATTTGTACGTTTTTGTGAGGGTTGAACGGGTTTGCAACAAATGCATCAGAAAATGAATGAATCGACAATTGCCGCTAAAACTAATATTGTGTTATTTAATTACATATCGAAGCTGAGCAATCAAATAATTTGTACAGTAATATTTGTCAAACGCCTTTAACGTGTTACCATTCGAAGTTGCTTTTAACATGAATTTTGTTTCATTAAGTTCTGTTTTCCCACTTTTTAAAAGATGCAGCCAAATATTTATGTAGGTTTGCGCTGAATTTTTTAGGATGTCAGGCTCCTTTTGTCCAGCTAAGTGGTCGATGCTACTTCTTCTCCTGTATGCAGAAATCATGGTCACATGCACAAGCCTATTGCAGGAGCATTTCTTCACATTTGGCAAGAATAACTTCTCAGCGTGGGAACAATATGATTGTCTCCTACGTACGGAATTATTTTTCTGGTAGGTATATTTCTTAGGTGGATGTCAGATTGTCAGGAGTTAAAAAATTGTCCGCAAAATTTAAAAAGGAGCAATTATGATCAAAGAGAAAAGCCATATGCCCATACATCAATAGCAACGTTTATTTTATAATTACCTGGTATCTGCTTAAAAAAGAGTCTAATTTAGAAGCAAATATGCAGGTATAAAAAGAGTGATTGTAAATTGGAATGAAAATTCATATTGCAACTTATCATTACGAAGTGTATTAAGGAAAGGTCATATATTGGAATGATAAGATCCCTTAGGTAAGTTTTTCCTTCTTTCAGTCAACTTCAACTGGTGGCTGGGTGGCAATGACATGGCACAGGAGGGCAGGTGGGTCTGGGTGGGTACCAACAAAGTTATGAGTTACACGAACTGGTATCCAGGACAACCTAGCAACTACAAAGGAATAGAGCACTGCTTGCTGCTGTTGTGGTCACACATCCAGCATAGATGGAATGATGCACCGTGTGGCCTTGCAAAGAATTTCATTTGTCAAAAGTAGCAGAGATAGTCATTTCCCTGACTTGCCAAGTTGTTGAAGATATCGATTAGGTGAAATTGAAAGATATCATTAAACAGATAAGGGGGTTTTATTGGAGTACAACTAGTTGCATTCTCATCTCGCTTATATATGTGGAACTTCTCAATGCTGCCTTTATTATTATTATTTGGACTTATTTGATATCTTCAGTAATTTCTCACATTTTCTGCTCAAAATATCAGTTTTAATTTGATTCTTTATTTATCTGTGAAGCATAAAAATTCATAAGCTTTATTTGAACTTATTTTGTATTTACCCAGGAGTTATTAATAGTAAGACTGTTGATATAACCAGATGAAACAAAAGCGTAGAACAACGCTTTCTTTAAAATGAAATGAGTGATCAGAATTCAGTCACAATCCTCTTGCTAATTTGATGCTTTTATTTGCCGATGTCAGATAAATTTACATTAGCTTGAATCTGTCTTTGTTAATGCTTACATGTTATTCAGAGAAATAAAAGCTTTTGCGCACGATTAGTATTTGCGTTGCTGACATAAGGAGATAAAACGTTTGAAACACAGTCATTTCTATGTAGAGACCAAGATAACATTTCGAAGATTGCAAAAAAGTGCAAAATTCTAAAATGAAAGACAATTTGACAAGTATGAAACATCGCTATAAAACAAGTTTCTGTGACATTTTTTCTTTTTTTTTTTTTTTTTTTTTTTTTTTTGTTACTGTGTCTGTGATAAAAGTCTTTTTTATGGATCAGTTAACGATAAAATGACGGTGCATTCATATACTCCACTATCATCGCTTCACGAATGTTTGTTTTCCGTAAAATTGTAATCAGATGTTTGAAAAAAATAAAAACAAGGTAAATGTTGTACAGGTATATAAGGTTGCATTGTACTGTTGATATCATTGCTCATGTGCATGCACTTCATCGTTCCTTCTAGAAACGTCTTTTTTATTATTAATTTTTTATAAAACAGTTATGGCAGCGGCAAGTGAAAATATGTTATACATGGCCTGTATTTTTTAAGTACAATTTAAATTCGGCATGCTTCTTGTATGGGACTATTTAGCTCCTTGTGTGCCATATGGTGTTCATGTTAGATAATTAATGTTTTCGAAGACAGACAAATTAGGGTCCTTGTGAAGTATTTCAGTATTTTATTCGATACAACATCTGGTAATTTCTTATGCATACTTCATATAGTTCAGGTAAAATTAGCTTGAACTTAAAAAATGCTTGAATATTTCTTTACTTTACAGAACATAATACATTGGACCTTTTTTCTCTTTACTTTTAAAGTCATTACCTTTCGATATAAAATAATCATTCTTATTTTGTATTTAATTGTTAAGTCTACAAAAATTATTAATGGCTATTAGACTCTAAATAAATATGTTATAACTAAAGCAGTATGCCCCTGACGGTCTGTTTTGTTTGATTATTTCTTATTTTCTCTTTGATTACGGCATCAATTAAAAATAAACAGGGTTAAGCATTATAAAGTTGAAATTATAATTTGATGTTTATACCGCACGAAGAAAAAAAAAACTTACACCACACGATTCAACCTAAGACCACTACATTTTTATGAAAAAGAAATCAGACACCTTTATAAGATAACAAACAACAACTACCGTGATGCGCCTATAAATAAATGTGCGGAGTGCGTCTTATTCACTCGCATTCACAGCTGTAGCTTGGAAGTTAATAGACGCAGGTCGCACAGATCCACACTTCACATCGTGTAATAATGGCAGTGACAAGGTCTGTCCTCTGTTTTGGACTAATTTTGGTCTTCTTCGTGTTGCAGCGTGGCGTTTTTGGACTCGTAATCTTCCCAGGTGAGCATGCATATTTTCGAAATACACTTCAGATTAGGCAAGCTTGAGCAGATGGACAGCAAACTAGTGAGAGTGAAACTGGTTTGCAACAAATGTAGCAGAAAATAAATGAATCGACAATTGCCGCCAAAACTAATATTGTGTTGCGATGCTTGAACGTGGCGATCACTGTGCGTTCTTTGAGAGTCCGACGGCGTCCTGGCCAGTTTCATGGTCGCACAAAGGACGCAGAAAGGACGCCGTCCAGTGTAAAGGGGGTTTAAGCACGCTCTGTTCTCCAGTGGCTCGATTGTCGTCATCGGACCACGTGACCACGTAGCTCATTAACTCCCAGGCCGAGCAAATAGGACGTTTTTTAAAGCCAAAAATTTACAAAATGAGCTTTTAATTTGTGTATTTGGATAAAGATATCGTTAGTTGGGCATGTTTTCTGAAGAATATGTTCCGTTGAGGCCATTCTGACGGTATGAAGCAAATCCTTTAATTACATATCGAAGCTGAGCAATCAAATAATTTGTACAGTAATATTTGTGAAACGCCTTTAACGCGTTACCATTCGAAGTTGCTTTTAACATGAATTTTGGTTCATTAAGTTCTGTTTTCCCACTTTTTTAAAAAGATGCAGCCTAAAAGGAAAAATGTAAGTTTGCGCTGAATTTTTTTAGGATGTCAGGCTCCTTTTGTCCAGCTAAGTGGTCGATGCTACTTCTTCTCCTGTATGCAGAAATCGTGGTCACATGCACAAGCCTATTGCAGGAGCATATCTTCACATTTGGCAAGAATAACTTCTCAGAGTGAGAACAATATGATTGTCTCCTACGTACGGAATTATTTTTCTGGTAGGTATATGTTTTCTTACGTGGTTGTCAGGCTGTCAGGAATTCAAACATTGTCCGCAAAATTTAAAAAGGAACAATTATGATCAAAGAGAAAAACCATACGCCCATACATCAATAGCAACGTTGATTTTATAATTACCCGGTATCTGCTTAACATTTAAAAAGAGTATAATTTAGAAGCAAATATGCAGGTATAAAAAGAGTGATTGTGATAGTAAAATGGAATGAAAATTGATAGTACAATTTATCATTGCGAAGTGTATTAAAAAGGAAAGGTCATATATTGAAATGATAGGTAAGTTTTTCCTTCTTTCAGTCAACTTCAGCTGGTGGTTGGGTGGCAATGACATGGCACAGGAGGGCAGGTGGGTGTGGGTGGGTACCAACAGCGTTCTGAGTTACACTAACTGGTACCCAGGAGAACCTAGCAACAACGAAGGAATAGAGCACTGCTTGGAATTGCGGTCAGTCATCACACATAGATGGAATGATGCACCGTGTGGCCACGCAAAGAATTTCATATGTGAAAAGTAGCACAGATGGTCATTTCCCTGACCTACCAAGTTGTTGAAGATATCGATATGGTGAAATTGAAATATATCATTAAACAATAACTGTCGGTTTTATTGGGGTACATCTGGTTGCATTTTCGTCTAGCTTATGAATTGGATGCGCAGCTTCTCTTTGCTGCAAATTGTCATCTGATTTTTTCTTTATTATTATTATTATTATTATTTGGATTTACACAAGAGTAGTTCATAGGGGAACTGCTGAATTAACTAAACGAGACAAATGAAAATAACCATGCTTTGCAGTGATAAAACTCCAATTACAATTCTCTTATTGGTTTCATATTTGTATTTATTGAATTTTATTAGAGAGACTTTCCTCACAACTTGTGTTTACACATGAGTTTTTCGGGCAAGTTGAACCTACTATATGAAGCCAATTGTTGTTTTGATGTTTGAACAAGAAAAAAATCGCTGACACAGAAACAATTTACGTTCAATTCAAGATAATAGTAATGTGTACTACTGAAAATCAACAAATAAAATGATGTTGAAAAGCGTAAAAAGTCATCAAGTGATCAAAATATTCTTTTATTCGAAACATAAAAAAGAAACAAGTAAATATATTGTTCAAAACTTGACAAAGGGAAAGAAACGAAACAAAAAAGAGATCGTTTCGACATTTACACATTTCTGAAGCATTATCAGAAACCAGAGTCTTACAGTTGCAGGGGTAAATACAATTTTTTTCAGCAGACGATCAGAAAAAATGTTAGGGGACTCTGCAAAAGACTCTGGTTCATGGCGATGCTTCAAGTAACTTGACGTTGAAGCTTTTTGCATGGATAACTCGTTTGTTAGGTTGTTTTTATTTATTAGTAAGAAAAATAGGGAAAAAATCGAAGAAAAATGATGTTGAAAAAATCAATCATATGTCAAGTCTGTAATTTAGTGGTATTGTGGGTATTTTATTCAGAATACATGTATATGTGTGTTTTGTTCAGTTTCCATGTAGATACCTGGGATTATTTGGCTGTTATTTTATTTAGTGTCATTTTTTAATGTAATAATCTTGGGAGTCTTTAAGTCAATATCACAGCTGTTCACTTCTTCCGCTCAAAAATATCGGTGATAATTTGATTCTATATTTATCTGTGTAGTATAAAATTGCATACGCTTTATCTGAACTTATTTCTTATTTACATAGGAGTTATTAATAGAAAGACTGTTGATATAACCAGATGAAACATATGCGTAGAACAACGCTTTCTTTCAAATGAAATGAGTGATCAGAATTCAGACACAATCCTGTTGCTAATTTAAATCTTTTATTCACTGATGTCAGATAAAATTACAGTAATCTGTATTTGTTCATGTTTACACGTTATTCAGAAAAATAAAGCTTTTGCGCACGATTAGTTGTTGTGTTGCTGACATAACGAAATAAAACGTTAGAACATAGGCATTTCTATGTATAGGCCATGATAACATTTCAAAGATTGCAAAAAGGGCAAAATTCTAAAATGAAAGACAATTTGACAAGTTGAAACATCGCTATAAAACAAGTTTCTGTGACATATTTTCTTTTCTTTTTTTGTGACTGTTTCTGTGACAAAAGTCTTCTTTTTATGCAGTGGTTAAAATGACTGTGCATTCGTATACTCTACTATCATCGCTTCGTGAATGTTTATTTTCTGTAAAATTAAAATCAGATATCTGAAAAAAACAAGGTAAAAACTGTACAGGTATATCAGGTTGCATTGTACTGGTAATATCATTGCTCATGTGCATGCACTTCGTCGTTCCTTCTTTAAAGGTCTTTTTTATTATTAATTTTTTATAAAACAGTTATGGCGGCGGCAGGTGAAAATATGTTATACATGGCCTGTATTTTTTTAAGTACAATTTAAATTCGGCATGCTTCTTGTATGGGACTATTTAGCTCCTTGTGTGCCATATGGAGTTCATATAAGATTATTAATGTTTTCGAAGACAGGCGAATTAGGGTCCTTGTGAAGTATTTCAGTATTTTATTTCATACAACATCTGGTAATTTCTTATGCATACTTTATATAGTTCAGGTAAAATTAGCTTGAACTTAAAAAAATGCTTGAATATTTTTTTACTTTACAGAACATAATACATTGGACCTTTTTTCTCTTTACTTTTAAAGTCATTACCTTTCGATATAAAATAATCATTCTTATTTTGTATTTAATTGTTAAGTCTACAAAAATTATTAATGGCTATTAGACTCTAAATAAATATGTTATAACGAAAGCAGTATGTCCCTGACGGTCTGTTTTGTTTGATTATTTCTTATTTTCTCTTTAATTACGGCATCAATTAGAAAGAAACAGGATTAAGCACTATAAAGTTGAAATTATAATTTGAAGTTTATACCGTTCGAAGAAAAAACTTACACCACACGATTCAACCTAAAACCGTGACATTTTTATGAAAAAGAAATCAGACACCCTTTTTAGATTACAAACAACAACTAGCGTGATGCAACTATAAATTATTGCGTCTTATTCACTACTATTCACAGCTGTAGCTTGGAAGTTAATAGACGCAGCTCGCACAGATCCACACTTCACACCGTGTAATAATGGCAGTGACAAGGTCCGTCCTCTTTTTTGGACTAATTTTGGTCTTCTTCGTGTTCCAGCGTGGCGTTTTTGGACACGTGATCTGTCCAGGTGAGCATGCTTATCTTCGTAATACACTTGAGACCAAGCAAGCTTGAGAAGATGGACAGCAAACTAGTGAGTGTTGAACTGGTTTGCAACAAACGCATAGGAAAAAATTAGTTGAAAAGATTACCACTAAAACTGATATTATGTTATTTAATTACATATCAAAGTTGAGCATTCAAATAATTCGTACATAAATATTTGTGAAATGCCTTTAAGGCGTTACCATTCGAAGTTGCTTTTAACTTGAATTTTGTTTCATTAATTTCTGTTTTCCAACTTTTTAAAAAGATGCAGCCTAATAGGAAAAACTGTCAATTTCTTTAGGATGTCAGGCACCTTTTATCCAGCTTGGTGGTCGGTGCTTCCTCTTCTCCTATATGCAGAAATCGTGGTCACATGCACAAGCCTATTGCAGGAGCAAATCTTCACATTTGGCAAGAATGACTTCCCAGCGTGAGGACAATATGATTGTCTCCTACGTACGAAATTATTTTCCTGGTAGGTATACGTTTTCTTACGTGGTCGTCAGACTGTCAAGAATTCAAACGTTGTTCGCAAAATGTAATTAGGACCAATAATGATCAAAGAGAAAAAACATGTGCCTATAAATCAATAGCAACGTTTGTTATATAATTACCCGGTATCTGTTTAAAATTTAAAAACAGTATAATTAAGAAGCAAATATACAGATATGGGAAGAGAGATGTTGATTGTAAAATGGAATGCAAAATGTTTTGAGGAAAGGGCACATCTTGAAATGATGGATCCCTTAGGCTATTTTTTTTCTTCTTCCAGTCAACTTCAGCTGGTGGCTGGGTGGTAATGACATGGCACAGGAGGGCAGGTGGGTCTGGGTGGGTACCAACAGCGTTATGAGTTACACTAACTGGTACCCAGGAGAACCTAACAACCACAAAGGGCAGCACTGCTTGGAATTGCTGGCATACACCAAACATAGATGGAATGATGCACCGTGTGAGACGGCAAGGAATTTCATATGTGAAAAGTAGCAAAGATGGTCATATCCCTGACGTACCAAGTTGTTGAAGATATCGATTTCGTGAAACTGAAATATATCATTAAACAGATAACTGGAGGTTTTATTGGGGTACATCTGGTTGCATTCTCGTCTAGCTTATATATGGAATGCGCATCTTTTCTATACTGCAAAAGTTGATTTGATTGTTTCCTTTATTATTATTTGGACGTATTTGATATCTTCTGTGATTTCTCGTTTTGTTAGTAGGCCTACTGGCTGCATGAGTGAATACTATTTTGTGTATTCAAAAAAATATTTCATGTCTTTTATTCAATTATATAGTTGTTAACACCATTCAGAAACAGTGCTGTTGCTAATTTGATTCTTTTATTTTTAAGTGTCAGATAAGATTTCATAAGTTTCATTTCAACATATTGGGTATTTACACAGGAGTGGTTCATAGAGGATCTGCTAAAATAACTAGATGATACAAAAGAAAATAATCATGCTTTGCAGTGATAAAACTTCAATTACAACTCTCTTGTAGATTTCATGTTTGTATTTATTGAATCTTTGCAGAGGTTTTCCTTACGACTTGTGTTTACACGTGAGTTATTCGGGCTAGTTGAAGCTACCATATAAAGCCAATTGTTGTTTTAATGATTCAACAAGATTAAAACGCTGGCACAGAAACAAATTTACTTTTAATTCAAGATAATATGAATGTGTACCACTGAAAATCAACAACTGAAATGATGTTGAAAAGCGTAAAAAGTCATCAAGTGATGAAACCGTTCTTTTATTCCAAACATAAAAAAGGAAACAAGTAAATATATTGAAACTTGCCAATGGAAAAGAGACAAAACAAAAAAGAGATCGTTTTAGCATTTTCACAGTTTTGAAGCATCCTCAGAAACCAGTCTTACAACTGCAGGTTATGTTGTTTTGCATGTTATGTTGTTTTCATTTATTAGGCAGAAAAAATATGAAAAAACGAAGAAAAATGATGTTGAAATAACAATCAATCACATGTCAAGTCTGTAATTTAGTCGTATTTTGGGTATTTAATTCAGAATACATGTATTTGTGTGCTTCAGTCAGTTTCCATATAGATTTCTGCGATTTTATGGCTTATTGATGTCATTATTAAAGGTAATATTCTTGGGAGTCTTAAAGTCAATAACACAGCTGTTCACTTCTCCTGCCCAAAAATATCGGTGTTAATTTGATTCTTTATTTATCTGTGTAGTATAAAATTCCATACGCTTTATTTGAACTTATTTTATATTTACATAGGAGTTATTAATAGAAAGATGAAACATAAGCGTAGAACAAAGCTTTCTTTCAAATGAAATGAGTGATCGGAATTCAGTCACAATATACTCTTGCTAATTTGAATCTTTTATCAACCGATGTCAGATAAAATTACAGTGGCTTTAATCTGTCTTTTTATGTTTACACGTTATTCAGATAAATAAAGCTTTTGCGCATGCTTACTTGTTGGGTTGCTGACAGAACGAGATAAACTTTAGAACATAAGGATTTTCCTATGTATAGCCCAAGTTAACATTTCATAGATTGCAAAAAAGGGCAAAGTTCTAAAACGAAATACAATTTGAGAAGTATGGAACATCGCTTCAAAAGACGTTTCTGTGACAATTTATTTTTCTTTTATACAATGGTTAACAGTTAAAATGACGGTGCATGCATGCCTACTCCACTTTCATCGCTTCACGAATGTGTATTTTCTGTAAACTCATAATCGTATCTCTGAAAAAAAAAAAGGTTAACGCTGTACAGGTATATAAGGTTACGTGTTGTACTGGTGATATCATTGTACCTGTGCATGTACATACGTAATCGTTCCATTCTTGAAATGTCTTTTTCTTTTCCTTTTATAATACATGCACAGTTAGAGGGACGACAGGTGAAAATATGCAATACATGGCCTGTATCTTTGTAAGTGCAATTAAAATTCGGCATGCTTCTTGTATGGAACTATTTTGCTCCTTGTGTTTCATATGCTGTTCATGCTAGATTATGTCTTGCAAGACAGATGAATAAAGATTCGCGTAAAGTAATTCAATAATTAATTTCATACACTAGCTCACTTTAGTCTAATTTCAAACAACATCTCACTAATTCAACTTCTACATACTTCATATATTTAAGGTATAATTTGCTTTAATTTTAAAAATATGCAACATTGCATACTTTACAGAAAATATGTTGGTAATTTTTTTTTTTTTTTTTTTTTTTTTTTTTTTTTTTTTTTTTTTTTTTTTTTCATTTAAGACCATAAGTTTTCAGTTTAAAATAATCCTTTTGACATTGTATTTTAACTGTAAAGTCTACAGAACATTATGGAATTTCGGACATATATACTGTCTATAATGAAATATCAAATATTAGTAATACTACATAAATAACACAGTCTATTCCCGACGTTCCGTTTTGTTTGATTATATCTTATTTTCTCTATTAATTACGGTATTAATTAAAAACAAACAGTATTAAGCCTTATAAAGTTGGAATTATAATTTGAAGTTTATAACGTATGAAGAAAAAACTTCCACAACACGATTCAGTACAAGACCGTGACATTTTCATTAAAAAGAAATGAGACACCCTTTTTAGATAAGGAAATATTCAATATAAACTAGCGACATATCATTGAGCGGAGTGCGTCTTATTCACTCGCATTCACAGCTGTAGCTTGGCAGTTAATACACCCAGT